TCATTTTATCTGTCCTGACATTTCAGATGTTAGATATATGCTGTGATACTTGTCTTGGCTATCATGATAAATGGGTTTGAAAGAGTCACTCAGAATGCTCTGGTAATGCCTTTATCCACCTCTTGAAGAGCAACGTGATGGAACTAACTTCTGTTTGATGTAATCGTTCCCTCATTCTCCCCTCCATCAACAGTTGTTACAAAAATATAGAAAAAAATGTGTTTTACACACACACACACACACACACACGCACACACACACACACACAGAGCTCTTGTCAGCTGCTGGACAAAGAACACTTTCCCTCCTTCAGATAAATTGTAATAAATCTGTGGCAACTCCTGTTAAAGAAGGTGAGTTACTACTTTGAAGTACAGAATAGCATACCTCTGAATAAAATTTGCCTTAATATAATATTGAAAGCAGTGTTTTAGTCATGGAAGCATCATGGAACTGTTGAAATTGGTCAGGATTATTTCCTTTAGCCTATAAAGGACTTCCAGTGAGAAGTTAAAAGCCTGTAGGCTGTTATTAAGATGAGGACTGCAGAATAAGAGAATAAGGAATTATTTAATTATTGAAATGCACAGATATAATTGCCTTTTTTTTTTTTTTTGCAGGCTGAACCAAGAGTTATGCTTGTATTGATTGCACTCTGATTCAACAGAATAAGACCAGTGTGGAACTAGGCTGTAACTTCCCATTAAGGGGAGACTAAAATTTCCCAGCCGTTAATTGATACAAATTTTATTATAAAACAAAATAAAGACCCAGTGATAGCTGCTACATCTTTTTGCAAGGCAAGCTGATTCATACAAATCATTCACTGGACTAAAATCTATTGTATAATGTGATTTTCATTGCCAAGGTCTTCTATGAAGCCTGTTACTGTGTGCTCCAGTCAAAGGAAAAATAGCATAGGTCATTGAAGAAAATCAAAATGCATAGAAATAGTATGACCAAGGTATAAGGATTTTGCTAGACTTAGGGAAAACTTGATTAACAATACTCAGTGCATGGTCTAAGCTTATCACCAGGGACTGACGGATGGACATGAACTCACATATAAAGAAGGAAGCTGAAATAATCATTCCACAGACTATCTAAACCATGGAAGTGGAGCTGGAGGTCTGGGTCAGACTACCTCTTAAGATTAAGATATCCCAAATGAACAATGCAACCATAAATAAATTAACAACATTTGGGAGATTCAAAGAAGACAGGAAAATAAAATGTACAGTGATGACATTTTCATGGTCTCACATTTTATGGACCTCCAACACTACTTCCTAGATTTACACTTCTTTTTTTTTTAATTCAAGAGTATGGAATCTGGTGGAAAATAATAAAGATAGTATTAGAATGCAGATCCTTCTGTGTCAGAGAAGAGGAAATATTAATCAGAGCTATACAATAACTGCAAACAGCAGAGAATACCCATAAATATAGTTGAGAAGCAGAGCTTTCCATGCAAAATCAGAGGCGTATTGAAATTACAAAATGGAGGAAAAATTACCAAACTGGTGATTAGCAATGAATATGCTGAGCACCCTAGCCTATCCCAGCTATCCAGGCGAGCTATTGAAATTTTTTAACATTGCAGGTAAATGAGAGTCACACAGTAAAAATGGAGTGAGGGCTTGTATCTCTTTCATCCCTGGAAACAGCATGAACATTCACAATGATGGGTAAGTACTTAACTCATAAAGAGCATTTTAGCAATTAATCCATTGGTGATTCTTTGCTTATTCTGGGAATAAGCAAATTGTGGGAGTAAGTGGATGAAGCCACTCAGGCCACCTGGCCTAGGTGTTAAAGGTGATGGTGTTTTGAAAACATCTGCAAAGAAGTATGGAGTGTCCCTGGGAGTCCACACCATTTGGGGAGGAATACAACAGAGGGAATAGCCTGCAGCCCAAGACATGTTTCCTTCTGAATTTGAAATAAAGGCATGGAAGTTCCTATCAGAAAAAGAGCAAGAAAGTGATATTCCTGACCTTTGTTTTGATATTACTGTCACTTCTTCTTCAGAACCAATTTCTACATGGCCTCAGTCAGATGTTTTTGAGGCCCTGACACTAAACTGCTCTCCACAGACAGACAGCTGAAATAAACTGCTGCTCCTTCAGTTCTCTAGAGATACAGCTCACTGTCAAATGAGGAAACTGAGAGTGTTCCCTTTTCTCACAAGGTCCATTTTGTCTGCTGTGGTCATCTGCACAGTTCAAAGAGAGTTCCTGGAAGGACTGTGCTTCAAGACTTTTGGTTTGTTTGCATGGCTTCTTGGATATAGAAGGTGTGTTTTAAGAGACCTTTGTTAACGATGACTCCAGCAAGAGCTTGTGACAATACAGGAAGTGACACAACAAAATATCCTAAATGAGGGATTCCCCTTCTATTTTAAAATTAACCTGGATTTCTATTTAAATAGATCAGGGCTCTGGTATTGATTCATATTTACATCATTTTAGTCTAATACATTTTTAATATAGTTTTGGTTTTGTGGGGCTCTGAAATAACAGAACACAAAAATCACATACCTGCATGAGGAATATGTTAATATAGTCCTTATAACCTCTTTTTCAGACTATGCTTATGCCACTGAGGTGATATAATTCAAGAATAACGTCTGGTCTGTCTAGTAGGAGTCAGCTAAAATGGTTGATCTTGACTCTAATTGGCTTAGCCCAGCTCTCTGTAGTTTTCTTGATGTAAAACCTCATGATTAAATTCTGGCTGCTAGACACAAGGAGGGGCAGCAGAAAACCTCACAAGCCCATTATTATGAGTAAAAACTCCTTTCAGCATAAAAACATTATATGACACATGGTGTCACCAGAAAACATGAAACAATAGACTAAGCTGGCTCTTCTGCTAATCATTAGAACATTAGGAAATTAATCTAAACCATGAAGTCCAAAGCACACGTGGGTATGTGCTCATATGCATATGGGAGAATATAACATGGTTGAGGGTGGGAAGGATACATTTGAGGATTCACCTTGCTGTCAAGCAAAGACATTAGCTGATATCTTAGACAGAGCCCTAATACTTTATAACTTTGAATAAAAGCTGGATTAATTCTTGATAGACAGTAAAATCTGACAGTACAGTGAACCACCTGACATTTCTCTTGGTGTTGAAGGTGCCCATCTTCTCCTCATGCAACAGTTGTTTATTAATTTATTCCTGACAGAGATAAAATTTCAGATAAGAGCTTCCATTCTACTTTATTGGCAAGTCATTCAAGGCAGATACTCCTCTGATGAAACATGAAGCTATTAGCTGTTATGTCCTTCCTGATAATCTACCATTGCCCTATACACTATAGGGACTGCATGAAAAAAATGATACTGCTGTTCTGCTGTGACAAAGAGAGAAAATGGAGAGGAAGAGGTTATTTATTTTGTCATTTCCTATTATAACTCTAACAAGGTGTCAGAGTAAAGGGGATATGACTGTTATTCATGAACACTCGCAATAACCAGCATAAGGTTTTGCCTTTCTAACTAGACAGTATACTGTGGAATTTTCATATCGAAGATTTACTGCTTTTGTAACATTTAAAGTTTTAGAAGCAAACTCTCCTGATAAACCAGGCATGTACATTCTAATGCTACATTAACAAATTAACATTAACAAAGCTGATTTTCTCATGAATAAAAGGAGAGCCTACATACCTGAAATAAACCAGGAGAAATACAGGCTGCTGCACACAGGTAGAGGAGACAGGCATTGAGGCTGGTTGGAAAAGCCAAAGGATTAACTTCCATGGTTAATTTCTCTTCTTATCCCCACATTAACTCATAATATGCTCCAAATAAAATCTTAGTGAAAGAGCACAAATGCAATTGTGAAAAGCAAAAAAAAAAAAAAAAAAAAAAAAAAAAAAGAGCTTTAGAGTTCACAGATAAAGTTGTCAATGAAAGAAAAGAAATAGGCAGTTGAAGACATTACAGCATTCATGTTGGCAATTTATAAACTCTTTAAAGCCTTTCTGCACCTGTAAAGTGATGCAGAAGTCAGTGTAACAGGAAGTGGAGACAGACATTTGTAAAAAGATAACTAGACTGAGGTCTGTATTTCCTAAAGCGTTAGGCTGATACCACTCCTCAGGACTGCCTGGACCATGGCCATGATGGCACTTGGAGAATCTTTCTATTCATAAGGCTTTGTTAGGCCTCTAAAAGGCAGCACTTAAAATTTAGTTTATTAAGCTGCTTCAGCCCAAGTAGTTATCAGGCTATATGCTATGGAAAAGATATTCACATAGCAGTTGTACTGACCAAACTGTTTTTGTGGGAATATCATAATTTTAAGTGAAACAAGGACATTGAAAAGCAAAATATGTATGGGCTAAAGATGACTTGTGTAGGGAGATTTTATTGTTGGGAGGGCTGATAAGATGACCTTCTTCAGCTAACAATACCATTCCTTCCCCGTGGACAGCTCAGCTGTGTGCAAAAATCAGCTCCTGAATTACTAGCAGTTACTGTCCAATTATTTTGAGGTAAAATGCTAACTACTTCACAGCCTTTTATTTCCAACACGAATTGAAATATGGTGCTTCAGAAGTAGTCTAAGCTTCCATGTGGCAAAAGTACTGTGCTTTCCCTAATATGCATCAAACTGTTCTTGGGTCACAGGTTAAAGCCTAGTGATGTCCTCCTGATATCCAGAAGTAATAGCTTTTTCTCTGTGTTTCAGTACAACTGTTCAAATAGAAATCTCTGTTTCAACTCACTGGTATAATCAGCATAGGTGACATTGAAGATTGTTTGCAAGGTGATACTGCAGTCCCTGGGAGAATGGATAAAGAGTACAGTTCACATTCAAATAACCTCTCGGCTCTGACAGTCTGGTGTTTGACAACATTTTCCAAACATTATAGCAGGGTCACATCTGAATCTTCCTCAAATTTGCCAGCTCTGTAGCTGAAAATCATACAAACACATCCATTCTGAAATGGGCATTATCTCTCTCTTCCCTTCACTCCCAAGGTGTGACTGAATATGCTAGAGAAGCTGGAGAAGCAGAGGTGAAATAAAGAGGCTTTTCAGTGGGTAAGGCTGTCCACAGCTCTGATGGAAGTAGGCCTGTGTTAAGGGCTTGCCTGCATTTGGCATTGATTAAAACTTTTTCATTGTGTTCTTTCCCCCTTACAATATTACTATTTTTTTGTAGGAGTAGCTGAAAGAAGAGCTTGCTAAGTTTTACCGCAAGGATGTGAGTCATGTGAGTCTAAAAATGCTGGATGAACAGAGCTTTTGGGAAAGGATCAATATGCCAACAGCCAAAGGTCAAAGCTGAGTTATAAACTGCAAAAAATGAAATCAATCCACCATAATCCAAATCCTGCACAGAGACAGGCAAAACGCCAAGATAGATTGCCCATAGTACCAGAGCACAGGTTGTAGTGGCCATCAGCCAAGCTAAACAGCATATTTCGAGGCTCCAGCCTTGCAGACCAACTAGCCTAGCAAGTGCCACATGTGTACTCTAAAGATTATTGAGAAGTATTACTAAATTCTTAAAAGATCATGGGTCATGTGAAATAGACCAGGTGGGAAGCTAGCCCATAATTGTCACCATGATACCTAGCAAATGCCCACACAGATGTACATCAGACCTAGGGGCAATGGATTTAGCTGAGTGCCCACTTTGGAATGCAGCTTAAATGCCAGCTCTTGGTACTCAGAATGAGACTGTCATGAATCCTACTGCTTATGACATTGAAACAGAACCTGACAAATTTACTTTTCCATTTCTTCCCTACCTAGGCAGGCTTGCCTTACCTAGCCTTGCTCTACCCTGTCCCTCGGTTTGCACGCTGCTCTCAGTTGTTGATCTGCTCTGATCTTCAGCACATTTGGGGCATAGAGGAACCGTACTCCAGATACCTGCTTTCTGCACTCTCGGCAGCCTAGTGACATTGTAGTTAGCTAACTGGGCTAACAGGGTAAGCCAGAACAAATGAGGAGAATGTAGAGGATAACGAGTCGCACTGCCCAAGAGAGGGGTGTCCTGGTCCCAGCCCCATCCCAGACCTCACTGTGCTCTTGAGCAGGGTCTGCCCCAGCATCTCTGGGATTAATGCCACCCCACTGTTACAGGGCAGAGGAAGGCTGTTCATCCACACAAGTAGGGTGGACCTACTTGTTAAGACACCGAAGTAATTTAAAATACATTTTTAAAGAAGAGCCAAAGCACTGGACATTGTTGATAGATAAACCTGAGCAGGATCTTTCACTTGAGGGATGAGTGTGAGAACATGTCTAAGTCAGAGGTTTTGACCACATGGTCTTCTCTTTTTTTAGATATGGATGCACTTAGGATTTTTTTATTAGGATTTTTTATAAGATTTGTGAAAGGAACATCAGGGCAACACAGATCTGTTTCCTACTTAGCAGTTGGAAGTAAGGTGAATTTATCAGCTTCAGTGTGGTCCCTTCTGACCAACTGCAGCGACAAAGACAAAAAGCAATCAAGTAATCTAGCACAGCATGGCATGATTAAAATGATCTCCACCTTGTCTTTTGTGCCTGGAGGAACAAACTTTTTGTTACAAGGCAGATGTAATTCAGTCTTCATGTTGTCTCACTCTTGAAGCTGAGAAGAAACTGTAAAATATGATTAATTATTTATCATAGGGTTGGGATTTTGTTTGTGTTTGTGTGTGTGTGGACAGCTGCAGTTCAGTGGGGACCAAGAAACTATTTTTCAACTACAGTGGACTGACTGTATTTAGAGCAAAAGAGAGTACTTCACTGGCTAAGCCACCAATCCCTCTTCCTTTTCTCTTTCTTCCCCTTTTTTGCTCTTCCAGATACTCCCCATATGGCATCTCCACCCATATTCAAGGGCTCAAATATAAACTAAACCACATACTCCCCCCTCTCCCATCTACAAAAGAATTTATTCCATTGCAGTGGGAAGCCACAACATTTATTACATCTCTGTCTAAGATGAACCTCAAAGCAAGCATTTCATCCTCTCTCATGTAATCATCATAAGGTAGAAAATGAAATTTCAAAACCTAAAAGCATGCTGCAAAGAGCTTCAGGGCACCGCATGTCAGTTTTTACTTTGATGTATGCGATGTTTAAAAAAAAAAAAAAAAAAAAAAAAAAAAAAAAAAAAAAAAAAAACAGGGAGGGGGAGGGGAAGAGGGGAAAAAAATGCACTGAGATTCTTCCTTGAGATTTCCTGTCTATTGCTTAACTCTTTAGATGGTAGAAGGAAGAAAATCATCTCTCCTTGCTGTCTGAAGTAAGAATGGAAGTATTCTGAAGGGACATTGTAAGAACTTCATTTAGCACCATGGATGGTTTCACATTCTCTCTTGCATCTTAATGAGGTAAGCATCACCTCAAGGATTGCAGTGAGTGTGTAATGACTTTTAAAGCATTGGTAGGATCCGCTGATAAATGACAGCTACTTTGTTTCCTGACATGATTTAGAAAAGTAACAGCTTTGTCTTAGACTAGTGAACTTTATCACCTGGCCCAGAAGTAGGGAGGTGTCCTGGGGGAGCTGGGATTTACTCTGTGTATTTATCCAGACACGCAGTGTTAGTTTCTGAAATGCCTATTGCTGTTTATTTCTTAGGAGAGCAGAGTTGCAGTCCTAAGGGTCAAGTGCCACTGAATGTATTAATGTCCTTCTCTCTCTCTCTCTGTCCCTCTTTTGTCTGTTTAGTAAGACATGTAAGCACACTCTGTATATGCTCAAGAAGCAGAGCTGGATGTTTTTCTCCTAGTGGCAATTGAATCCTTCCTACCTGCTTTCATCATTGCGCTGTGTCTTCAAAATAAGAGCTCCTTTTCTTACACTGTTTTCCTAAGCCAACCCATACCTCCTCCCTCCTCTCAGCCACCTCCTATTTGCACTTACAACTACTATCACTGTCAGCTGTGCCTGCCATCTGCTTCCAGAATATTACAAAGCTGTAATCAGGACATTTTGAAATTTATTCACACAAATCAAAGACGTTCAGTGGCTGTCTGGGGTGGATTTCGTGCTTAGGAAGGTGCAGGTCTCCCATCAGAGGCTTTCAGAGCCAGCAGCTGGCAGAGAGAGGCTGCAAGAGGTTTCCGTGCCCACTTTGGCCATCCCAGCCTTCAGTGTTTCTGCATTTTCAGGGTTGGCCTCAGCTGAGACGAGCTGAGTAATTGTGCCAGATTATTTGCAGTTTAGTGGTGAGCTCAAATCTGGGCGAGGATGAGACCAAAGTAGTTTTTTCACTTGTGATCCCATTTATGCCTAGTCTGGAGAAGTATATAGCTACAGCACTCATGTCTCTGTCTTGTTCCCTTCACAAATAGACTGTAGCTCAGTCTACTTTTTCTATTCGCGTTATCTGGGGTAGGGACTACTTTATCAAGTCTGAGCAATGCCTATAATAGTGGCCTAATCCCTGTCAAGAGTGTCTAGGTGCTACCCTAATACATGATAGTAGTAATATTAGAATGCCTGCGGTGAGCTAGCTGTATCTTCCCACACAGATAGCAGATGCTAACAGGTTACTCCTGCATGGTTCAGTTTATAGTCTAGTTTTACAGTGTAATGGAAGAGGTTGTAATAGGCTATATTTGCATTATAAAGTGGTGTGGACTGCTTCAACTGCTCTAGAAAACATCCTACAATGTGAAACAGATGATGCCAAGGACCCATATATATAATAAGCACATTTCAGGGTGATGGGGGTTTTTCTACTTTGGACTAGCTCTACTCTGATCCCCCAGACTGAACATACATTTGGGGCAATAGTGCATTAGGTGCATTCTTGGTGTGCAGCTTCCAATTTGGCTTCACCCAAGGGGAGTCTGATCCATGATCTGTGATGCAAAGCAAAGTGGGTGTGATGGAGAACTTCACACTTCTGATCCAAACTAAACAGATGATGTGGATGCAGCCAAAAAACTACAGGTCTCTGCAACACAAAAAGTCCATTCTTGATGTTGCTCTTTCATATTCATGTTTGCAGTATGCTTCACTGACTTGGAAACTATTTAAAATCAGTTTTTAAAATTTTGCTCTTTCACAGTTCAATACATTTGGTGCATTGGTGTGCCTTTTAAACTGTCTCTGCTAGGTTTCCCGGTTTCCAAAAGCACCTTCATGTATGCCAGTGTTTTAATAAATGTCCCTAAATTAAATCATCAATATGTGGAAAAGGCAACAGAAATGAAAGGAGAGCTGTTATGTATTTCTGCAAAAAGAAACCAATCCCCATATGGATTCCCATTTTCCCTGTTGAGAGCTGAAGATCCAGACGGAATATAATGTGCCTATGGCCTCATGAGGTGAACAAAATGCACACTGCCTGTGCTGTCCACACCAGCTAAGCTGTTGCAGGCTCAGCTAGTAGCTGGATGCAAGCCAGTTCAGGATCCTGGAGGCTGTAGACACAAGCCAAAGAGCTGTGGTCAAATGCTTGGCAGGTATCAGACCACAGAAACCAAAGGAGTAGAAAAAGCTTCATTTGGCTCCATTGTTGCTGCTGAGTTGATGTGTGGGAACAAAGAACTGTGACCTATTGCTTTGCAGTGGCAGTACATATAGCAGCCAAGGTCTGCAAAAGCAGGATGCTTTAATCCCAGAAGGTTGGGTTTTTTTGGTTTTTTGGGTATTTTTAATTTGGGGGGAGATCTTCAAAAACACACACAAAGGAGCTAAATGTGTCTCACAGAGCAAAGAGAAGCAGTGTTTCCAAGGGATCAGAGTTAGGATGAATTCCACTGCTTCCCCACAGTTTTCTACCTACCTTCCACAGCTGGTGCCACAGCACTTGCTAGTATCCCCTCAAAGGTGGGAAAGCTGATGAAAGTATACTTAATTTGAATTTAAAAACCGTGACAAGGAAAAGGATACATCAAGAGATGAAAGGTTAGAGTCAGCTGGTACACTGGCTTTGCAAGGGACTGAGGCTGGTACCCTGTCACCAAAGGCTGACAATGATGCAGATGAGAGGACAGACATGGAAAGGATCAATGAGGGCAACAGTAGTGAGAGGGGATACTAGAGACTGGAGCATAGCCACAGTATATTACTACCCTGGATGAAATGCCTGAACCTTGGTCCCATGGTGACAGTTTGTCATCTTTGCTGTCAGGTTCTTTGGAGTGGCAGCAGAGATCTAGAAATGGGGAGAAGAAGGAAATGGTGATTATGAGTTTGTGACCAGGGCAAGCAGGCACAAGGCCAGCACTGAGTCCTTGAGTCATGCTGCTATGGGGAGCCTGTTATGGGCATACAGCAGTGAGGCAGGCAGTGGTACCTACCAAAAACCCATTTCAGTACTAGTCAGTGATTTAGACTGCAGGCAAGCAGAAGCTTCTTTGTAACTCTGGTTCAAATCATCTCACAGAAGGACTGTATCATTTAAATGAACTGCAGATTACTTCAGGTGCAGGTCAAAAAGGTACAAGCACTTCTGCTACATCCAAAATGCACCAGAACAACTGCAACTTTTTGGGACAAGTTGTACCAACCTTCAGTTCCTTGCTCCATCCCACAGCTCTTGTGTGAATATGCTCATACGCATGTCTTGGAATTGATGTGGAACCCCTCTTCCTATTATGCTGCTTTCATCATCAGAAGCAGGAAAAATCTCAAAGGAGTCTCATCATGTTCATCACGGAGCTTGCAAGTACTTGTTCCGGGCCATAACAGGCAGGTGTGACAGCAGGGGTTGGAGCTAATGTGAACATGTCTGCACTATGTGGAGTCAGCTTGTGTTTGGTCTCTCTGGGCACATCTACACTGAATCGTGTGTACTGGGTACATACCTCAAAGAGCCTTGAAGGCCTGATCCTTCATTGTCTGGGTCTGAATAGACTCTTTTCTTTCAGGCCCTCTCATCTGAGTTTCTTTTCAACATTCCCCAGGACACTTCACCAGGAGATGCATCTAGGGTCTCAAAAGCCTTCCCAGGCCAGGCAGCTGCATCCCTGTGCCTGAGTTCCCACCATTTCGATGGGGATGTGACACCCCCTCCCTGAAAGCTCATTGTGGCCATCAGCAAGTGCAGGCTTCACAGCCCTGGGATGGAGAGGGTAGGTATGAGTGCAACCAAGGACACTGGAAAGAAACCAATTTGTGAGAAGCAGAAATTCAAGGTGGAACAAAAACATTTTATTCTGGTTGCCTAAATTATCCATACATAGATTTGTCTAGGTTTGAATACAGGTAGGGTTGGGTTTTTTTTAGAAAATGCACTCAGCAAGATAATTTTAAAACAGCTTGCCTTCTAGCTAGTCAGAGCTTCACACCTTTAAATTGTGTTAGGTGTACATGCTTAGCTACAGACTCTGTCAGGTATGAACCAACATATATTAGGCCAATATTCTGTAAACTCTGAACCACAGCCTCTTTCACACAGCTTCAGCCCTCAGTTATCTCATACCTGCCTGGAAATGAAAAAGACTGCTGAAATAATTATTGTTGTATAATGGGAAATATATTTTCTTATTAAAATACTGTAGAAATTAATTTTATGTTCAGTCTGCAGTGAAGCATAGGTACAGATCCATGGGTCATGCATAGGTTGCACAGAAATCTGGCCTTGGTAGTAAACTATACTGTTCTGAAATGTTTCTTCAAATCCAGCCCAGAATTCATAGTAGGATTGAAACCAGCATTGACTGCTGATTGTTCAGAGTAACAGTGCTCCCACAGCAGTCCTTAAGGGGCATATATTCAGAGGAACTCAACACATAGCTTCCTAAATTCCTAGATCTGATTTTAAGTATGTAGTTAGCACACTTGTGTGTGCGGGTGTTAAAGCTCAGAACAGAACTGCATATGGAGTCATAAAATAGCAAACAGCAACATTAATTTGGAGGCAAATAAAAGTGAGCAATTTTTATTTCAATTTTCTTTGTTTTAAAGTCACACAGTGACAAATAACATGATTATAACTAATAATGGGATTTTTCAAGGCACTTATTAACAGACTCAGACTGAGGCTTAAATGTTTGCTCTCTATATGCAAATGATAAATATTTTGCCTTTTATAAAATAATTCTTTTCTAACCCAAGGGTTGATACCTGCAGCAAATTTGTGCTTCAACACACTCTTGTGACATGAAAAGCATTCATAAATTACAATCTAAACTGCAATTTCATGTCCTCTTAGAAACCATTCTAACAGAGGCATGGCAAGTCATTGAGCTAGTTGGCAGGGCAAAGCCTGTCAGTACACTAACACTGCAGGCATGTAACCTGTTTTCCCTTCCTCCATCTGCTGCATCAGTTTGGGGTTGGGCAGGCATTATGCAAAGCAATAGCTGCTAACATTTCGGAAGTATGTATAATTCCTCATCATTTTGCAGCCATTTCTGTCCCATCCTATTGCATCAAGATTTTGACATCACACGCATAGTGCTTTAATGAATCTGAGGGTAAGGGAGCTAAAAA